GTACAGTGTCGATGAGTTTCTTTTGAAACAATTTTAATTTTATTTTATTCGACAAGCAGTAGTTATACTACTTTATTTTATATTCATTATTATTATTATAATTTTATTACTGACGATCATAGTTATCCCTTGACATTGTATTTCCAATTGTAATATTGTGACATTGATAACATGAAATAAACGATTCTATTCTATTCTATTCTAATCAAGATACCAATATGCGATGCTGTTAGAAAAATATCAGTATGTATGTATCTATACTACCATGCATTGAACAAATATTATTTCAATATGTATCATTGACTTACAAATAAATGGACGACGGGTCTAATACAAAAACCACGAAAAAATGTCCCAAGTCAACCTATTCGAAATTTAAATTGTAATGTCATCGCAGTATCGCGCTGTCAGTCGAACAAATGAAGTCTAAAGCGGAGTTTGGCGCTCTGTATACGATTTTAGCGCTTTACAAATGCGGACACTTTTTAGCGCGGACCCGACGTCCTTACAATTGTAAGTCAATGATATGTATCGAGCAATTAACACTTCGTAGAAGTAATCTGTTTTGGTTTATTTTGTTTTTGTATGACATTAATGTAATTTAAAGTTTCACTTAATGGTCTATCATCGCATGCTGTGATCTGCCAACCATATAGAATTACGTATTTTAGCAACCGACGACGTGCGTAGGCACCCAGGGATCAGATGTCATTATCATCTTATCTAAGAGTCAGACTCTTGTCTCTCTATAGCTGTTCACTTTGATCTTATTATATACGCCATTCTTGGACTTCCTCTCTTTCTTTTCGTTTATATCCTCCCCTCAATTATCACCTCTCACAAATTCATAATTACGCAACAAATGTCCAAACATTTTCTCACTTCTCATCTCTATTGCGTTCAAAAAACTTCTCTCCTCCCCAACCCTTTTCAAAACTTCTAGATGTACTGGTGACACGGTTAGTATCTACTATGGTTGATTCCCACCGCAGGACACCAAGTCTGCTAATTTTAAATCTTTCCAGTTGTGTGTCAATATAATGTTAATGTTAGGATTTAGTACGTACTTATTCTGCTAAAAGTTAAGCGTAGTGGGTTGTCAGTGTCTAGCCATCGGGCTACTTAAATTCCATTGCAATTTTCTGGTATTGTACTCTTCAATGGCGAGACGATGCTTAAAAAAAGACGTTTTCAAATGTAAAAAATTACCTATGGAATAATGATGATTTGACTTTGTATATTGCATTAATATTATACATGTTTAATTTGAAGACTAAAATGCTGATTGAACGGGATAAAAATTAAGATATGCAGAGTAATTACTACGGTAGTTTTAATCTCGGCAACATAGATCGTTAGTGATTGATAGAATGAATACTATCACTGCTATTCCACTGACACTTTATTTAGATTTTAGCAGAATAACAAATTGGAATTACAATTGGTCTCAATGGAATTACAATGGCCATAGGTTTCAAGAAACTTTGCAAAATTGGTTCCCAGTTCTGTAGCCAAATCGATCAACGACAAAATGAAAATAGGTCTTTAAAGTTTTGGGACCTAATGCCATAAAGTGCCATGGGTCCATTGTTGACTAAATGCGGCACTGTTACTGCAACTGTTAGATACGAGCGGTGGTTTCCCTAGACTCTTTTCTTAGTTCGTAGATTAAACCGTCAAAGAAGTCGGGTTTAATATATTTTTAAAGCATATTTCCTTCGGTCAAAAGGAATCCTTTGCTAAAAGAATTCACAAACTTCAAAAGAGCGACTTCAAAGGGAAGAAAATAATACGAATCTACAACTAAAAAGAATGTTAGCAGTCGTGAAGAGAAGAGTAGTCATGCACAGATGCTATAAGTAAAGAAAACTACAGATGCCAGTTACTGTTGGTAATAAAATTGAAAATCTCGTATGTAAAAGTAATTTTAACTTTTTTATTTATTTATTTAACTTAGTTTTATACTTAATTACGTACTAAATAAGTCTATAAAAAACATAATAAGATGTTATAGAGACTGAGAGTAAGAGGTGATATAGAGAATAAATTTTCTTCTTTTTATAACAAAATTCTTCTTCTAAATAATTTTTAAACAAAAATGCTATTAATCATTAAAGAGTTTTCTATAAAGTAAGTAGAACATAAGATATTTTGTTTTTCATTGAAATTTATTTCAAAATTGCAAATTTTATAATTTAACTTATTATTCAGTAAGATATTGTATATCTCGTTTGTTAACCAGTTCATAGATAGTAGCGTTTACTGTAAAATTAAATATTATCTTACGGGGTACCCCGTATCGCTATATGGATCTCAAAAAATCAACGAACTATATAAAGCTATTTCCAAGTGCGTTCTGTGTAGTTTCCTCCTTTTTTTATTTTAAAATATCAAGTGAGAGGACGAACAAGCCGTGCGCCTGATGGTAAGCTAGCTACACGTCTGTGCATAATAGCTGCAGTACCTCTCAGAGCTTTAAATCGCAAAGATCTGAGACATAGTTGACAAGTCCCATGTGCCTGTAATTTCACCAGCACCCTTACCCTTCAAGGCCGGTATACGGTAATGCTGACATTACTTCTTGCCGGTAGAAATAGGTAAGGTGTCAGTACTTCCCTGGAGGAACTCTTTCACAAGGAGTCTACTGCTACTAAATTTTCTATAGAGAACTATCAATAACGTAATGGAAAAGCGGTTGGCGGCAAAAACACTTAAAGTACTTGGAAATCGCACTGTAAAGCCCGTAGTTGCTTTTTTGAGATCCATATAGGGAAACAGGGTACCCCGTAGTGCCATATTCCGATATTTAATGTTACGGTAATAGCTTTACTGTCTACGAACGGGTTAAAAGCTAACAGCAGTTCTCGACGTGAGCCCTGTAAGGGCTTTGCAAAATCATAACAATTAAACAATTCGAATAAAATTAAATTGTTAATCCTAATAATAACCTGATAATTAATACAAAGATCAAGCAGAAAAATTTCTATGACCCGGTGGGACTTGAACCCAAGGCTATGCTACTCCGTAGCATTGCTCGTACCAACTGAGCCACAGGTCAACTTACCGAGCTGTCGAAATTCTCCTATGTGTTTTTGTTATAGGTCTTTATACTGGCTATCGGCATTCGTCGCCGCTATGTGTTCGATCTTTATATTATTTTAATTTTTATTAATTATAACAAAACTAATGAACTTATTTCACAAAAAATCTCAATAATACATTCTCTTTCATAGGCAGTACTTCAATAGTAGAGCACAGAAAAATGTCAGTGCTTTTCTTGCCGTAGTGCATAAATATTGATTCAATATAAAATGTTCAATATAAGTAAACCATTGAGTTTTGTCAATATGTTGTTGATACTTCTCTATGGAGAAACAGTAAGCGGCAACTACACTGAAAGCATTTCGACAGCACTGTAAAGCCCGTAGCTGGTTTTTAACCGACTTTAAACAAGGAGGAGGTTCTCAATTCGACTGTATGTTCTTTTTTTTTGTATGTATGTTACGCGATAACTCCGGTATTTGTGAACCGATTTTCATGATTCTTTTTTTGTTACAAAGGGGGTACTTCCATAGTGGTCCCATTTCATTTTGAAGAAAATCATCCACCTCGAAGGGTGGTTGTTCACGCATGAAGATTCATTTTTATAAATAGCGCCTAACTTTAATTTAGGAGCAATTACTTTAATGGTTGATTTTGCTATTTCTCCAATTCAAGGCGTTTTTATCCCAATATACTTTGTGTAGTGTCGTAGTGACAACCAATTTTTATTATCTCCAGTGTCAAGTCCTGTATAGTGGCGAACTAGGGGATATTTCAATAAAACTTAGCAAATAGACCTAATTCCACGTACTTTTGAGGTCGGTTTTTTTAGTACTCTGTACTGAGATTATTTGAGATCCATATACCGAGACGGGGTACCCCGTACTATCATATTCTAATATTAAATTTTACGGTAAACACTGTTACTGTCCGTGAATGGGTTAAGAACTTATATACTACAGCATTGATGCTATTAGGATTATAATTATGAGTGTTTAGGGGTGATACTTATAAAACTAAGTTTGTCCTCGACTAAGCAAGAAATGGCGAGCTAAGCAAAATTTTCGTAGTTACAAGACGAATTTTCCAAGGTTTCACATTTATATAGCGAACGGGTATGAAGTGGGATAGAATGATAATATGTGTTTTCCATGAGAGGCGGGTAGATTTTGATCACATGGTTCACACAATAGAAAACCCTTTTTGATAATAATTTTTATCATTTGCACGTGTTGCTCGACGCTGTAACTTGCCGTGATGATTTGTCTTTAGTGACTGAAAAATAACCAACAGATTTGACGAAAGTAGCCACAACAACATGGCCGCTATGAACTGTCAAAATCGACCCACTCTTAATGGAAAACCCTTTGTAACTTGGACCTTTTCAAGGTGAGAGCGAATATTATTTTAGTGTGCTTAATCCGTCGTTGACCTTATCGTCACTTTCCCTCAGATGAGTCGGAGGTCAAATGTCAAATTACTTATTTTATTAAAAAACTTTGCTTAAGTTTAAGCGAGAAATTACGATGTAAACTGCCTCTGTGGTGGCCAAACGGTTACCATGGTGGACTGCCACGCAGAGGTTCCGGATTCGATGCCCGGGCCGGAAGAAATATCTGTATGGCCTACATTTATTTCTCTCGTGAGTTTGGGTGTAATTTGTAGTTGTCTACCTATGTGCGTGTCCATGGCACCCACGATACAGGGTTTCCTTAAACTCGGAAGTTTCTTCTTCTTCTTCTTCTTGCTCAAACTAATGCAAAGTTCGTATTGTAAATGCGAAAAACTCTTCCAGGTCTTGCAGGTATTCTCGATCTTAAAATATTTCAAATAAATTTTGTAAACGATAAATGTAGTCAAATGTATATTTACAAAGAGCAAACCCTAGAATTTCTAGCTCATTCTTTTCTGCCTTACGAATGAGCAGAAGAGTTTAAACTATTTCAACCATATGACTATTTCAAGTGTATTTTGCTTACATAGAGATGATTTAAGATTGAGATTGAGCTTAACTTGCCATTTTTCGTAGTCGAATAGAAAAACTTACATTAGATATAAATTCACAAATTTTTTTCCCCCTTATCGCGTATACCGTACAACACACCTACCAGCACCAATGCAAAAACAGCTATGCCTCCTACAATGTACCACACAAGGGCCGGAGATACATGTTCTGAAAACAAAACAAAAGAAAATTTAATAATACATTTTTCAAGTTGGAATACAATGTATTTATGGTAACCTATCACAGATTCGAATTTCTTTTTTCCGAAACAACGTTTGTTCGAATTTTCATTACACCGAAAACCGAATTATAACGAAACCATTGTTCTTTCAGGATATATTGGATGTTTATCGCAAAGACACGATTAGGTTCGATTAGATTAGATTAAGTTAGGTTTAAAAGAAAAAACATTTTCTTCTCAAAATCACTTTCGAGGTTATGAAAATTCGAGCAAACGTTACTTCTGGTCATTTCGGTCTTCTGATAGGTAACCTGTATTTATTTAAAAAACCACTCCTATTTAACTAGCATATTATGAATCACGGAGCAATAACTCAAGAGGTCTGCTAATCTCCATACTCCAAACATAGCTCTGAATCTAATCCTAAACAAAATAAAAGAAGAGCCGGCACTAGTCATAAAAATCTGTGCAATAAACGCCATCTAGTTGATTTGTTTGTTATCACTAGAAATTAGAGTATGTTAGATAAATTGCAATTTGTCAATGTAAAACAAAATAGTTACAAAAATAGCTATTTGGTACTATTTTTTTATACTATCAAATGACGGTACGGACAAGTCGTGCGCCTGATGATAAGCTACACGCCTGTCCATAACAGTTGCAGCGACACTCAAAGATCTGAGGGGCACTGCCACTGCGTTCTTTACCTTGAGACATAAGTTGACAAGTCTCACTTGCCTGTAATTTCACTAGCACTCTTCCTTATTCTTCATAATCGGAACGCAGTATTAATGCTCGCATTACTGCTTGGTGGCAGAAATAGGTAAGGAGGCAGTACTTCCCTGGACGCACTCTTTCACAAGGAGCTCTATTACTACCTATTAAATACCGAAGATATTTCGTGGAAACCATTTTTGTTTAATAATTGTGTCTAATCAAGATAACAAGATTATAGTACCGTGCGTTTGGCGACAACAGTGTTTTATACCATTGTTTATCCAGTAGTTGCAAGAAACTTCTTTACCTTTTGTAGGCATGCACTCCTTAACGACTCCGTCAATTTTCACTTGCACCAAAAGTCTCGTAGATAGGATGTTCAAGCCTACATCAGTTCGTGCACGGCAGAATATTTCTGTACAATGATCAGTGCCGTTGACATTTAATTTAAAGGCTAGGGTTGGCGAAGGAATCTCACTCGCAGCAAGTTGTCTTTCTAACATTTCTGAAAGTATAAGAAACGTTTCTTTTTGTATTAGGTTTTCTTGAATTGTGGTCTATCTCAAAAATATCACAAAGGGCTAAAAAAATTTAAATGTGTCTGCCGTGCAAAGCTGACGAATCACAGACCATGCCAATGTTATCGTGTGATTATTCTAATCAATGACAATCTCGGAATTAGTTTGGATTAATTCACAATAAAAGAAGTCATAGTAGGATCAATTTCGGATTGGGTCACTATTCTTGAAAAGCTTAATTTTTTTTATGGGAATCACATCAACTCTTTATTGTAGTAATTGCGGCATCATTAAAGACGTTTACCATGTATTGATGGAATGTGTTCAGACTCAGAGACTCAGGAAACAGTTGGGCAGTATAGCCAGCATACGACAGACTTGGTGATATTGTAATGGTCAGCTCCCGTAGTTTTGTGCAGGCATGAGACTTGATGAGCGTAAGAATTTTTTTTTTCGTGTAGAAGTCCTCCTAGGATATGACTTCTACCAGCTAAAACCCCACGGTGGCCTTCTCAGGTGCTCTAGAGGAAGGATCCGCGGCCGACTTAGCGCACCGGAACCCCCCAGCACCTAGGAGGAGCTACGTCCTCCACCTCCTCTACTCACGACAAAGCGGGCCACAGCGCCCCGTCATCCTCCTCGCGGCTGCCAAACTTACTGGCGAACGGAGCCCCCGCTCAGATCACCCGCAACCGCGAAGGTACGGCGCCTCCGAGCGGAATCAGCCCTCTCCCGATCACGGACCTCCTTTTGGAGCTGCACAGGAGACCCCTGCCTCATAGGATTCTTGACCCGCCGAGCGTGAGAACTAGGTTGACCTGTTGATGTGTGTCACTCATGTACATTCAGAAACTCTTAGTGCAGTGTCCTAGCCCTAAGTGTACATAAGGTTAAACATGTACTCGATGGGTTAAAGTTATATTAATAATTATGTACCCAGTAAAACTGTAAGAGTAATTTCATATAATATAAACTCGTAATGTAACCTCGGGAACTTAAACTTCTACGTTTTTATACAAACGTTGTTACTTTTAAGTAAATATTAAATACTGGAACTGCTTATAGAATTTGATAAAGTATCTGGTTATTTCTTTTTGAAATGTGTTTTAGTTGTGTGTAAAGCGCCCTTCTTTTTCCTTTCTAAAAATGCGGCACATATCGTCTGGTAAACCCAGTTCCCACGTTCATCAAGTCTCAAGCTCGCACAAACCGACGGGAGCTGACCATTACCGTATAGTGTATTAAGCCAAGACACTGTACAAAGTAGGTATACTTAAGTAGTCTGAATCTACATTAGATGTATAAATTATGCAGCATTACGAAGCAACATTACGGTCTTCATGTACGGTAAAGCTCCTTAATTTTAATTACATATAAAAAAAGGTTTTTTAAGGTTTATTAAGTCCCATTGGACGAACAAGTCGCGTGCTTGGCAGTAATCAAGTCGTCTACCCCTAAAGATTTAGACTGGCCGGATCATTTCAGCGAGCGTAAGGTAGGTAACACGTAGTGTGAGTATTCGTATAGTTAGTCAGCGAGCCGTGGCCCGCGTTGTCGGTTTTTTGCCAATCCTTTTGAGTGTTTACGCTACGTCTCAATTTTAGTTCAATACGGTTTGGGGCAATCGTCACGAAAGCCGGCAATCGTTGCATATCATAATTATCAATGCATATCGAGCATCGTCACATAGTTTGAAATCCAACACAGTTGTTATTTTCCCTACACTGGGAGTACGTAAGTCATATTCTAGTAAAATCACAGAATCAAGAATCACGACTTTATCATCCGAAATCTCGACGTGGAGCACGGCCGAGAGCAATGATACTGGTTAGTTAGTTAATACCGTAACGTAACATGTTCGCCGCTAATGTATAAAATTCGGACAGTCGCCATCTTAAACACTCGCAGTGCCACTCAGAGCTTTAAATCGCAAAGATCTTAGAGGCACTGCCACTGTGCCCGTCACTCTGGTACTTAAAGTTGAAAAGCCTCATGTGCTTATAGTTTCATTAGTACCCTGAAGACCGACGTCCATTGGCAGGACGGTATTGCAAAGGATCCTTCGGCATCCCTCCATGCAAGCACATTGACTGCAATTATGACGCGGTATCCGAGGCATGCCAACGCGACATCAAGCTCGCGCCTTAACTTACAAGCTGGTTTATTACCGCTTGCATACTAAGGCTGGTTTCTCAGTTTTGCGTACGGTCCGTACGGACTGTCCGTCTGCGTAGAATCCGCAGTGCTCTGAATCGAGTATTTAATTTAGTGCGAATACTAACACAAGACAAGCTTACAATGAACGCACAGGTGGCTTGTGCGGAGTTCACGCGAAACGTGTTCCGTACGTAGTACGGATTACCTACAATCCTCGTCACTGTAAAACGATGTTCTAACTCCACACGTGTTACTCCGGTTTTCCGCGCGGACAGTCCGTAGATAAATCCGCACAGCTCTGAAACCAGCCTAAAAAAATGGTAATCTTGCTGAAGGAGAAAAGGACAAGAAAAAAATTTATAGGTTTCGTTGTGGTGGTTTGTTATAATATTAATAATTATACCAAACTATCATAAAACATATTCAATCAATAAATCAATAATATAAAGTTAGGTTTGTAAAAATATCCAGTTACCTTTAGAGTTGCGTTGCAACGCAGACAGTTTTGTCGAATCGGTAAAATTACTTGATTCACAAACATAATAAACGACGTCGCCAATATTAAAAAAAGTACTGCTATGGTTTGTAATTATAGTCACGCGATCAGTTCTATTTTCTGTCATCTCAATAGTTTTCTGATCCATTTTGTTCAAGATCACCGCGTTGGAGAAAGAATAGACATATTGGTCTGTCGCTGTATTGTGGAACAGAGATCGGCAGAAAACTTCTCTGTCTTCTGAGATAGGAGCTAAAGCATCTGTAAAAGTGGCATTCTCAAGTTTGCTTGGCGAGGTGTACTCTTTTTCAAAATTATCTAAAAAAGAAAACAAGTAATTTCGTTAGTAATACACACAATTAATTAGTAATGAACGACAATGTGACAGCCATGAAATTTTTTAGAAATTTTTTTTTCGGATCAAGTCAACGTTTCGGGCCCTTTACCATTCCACGGCCATTGTCACGGTTGACTGAATAAACCCCAAACGCTAAATGATGCAATTTTTAATATGCACCGAGCTCTCAAATCACACATTTAGATATATACTCTGCTTGGACTTTTCGTCTTTTTACAGTGGTTCCTTAAATTCGGCAACTTGTTACTTTAATTTTAAATTGTATTTAATTGATATTCAATTGTTTTTTATGTGAAATTACTTACTTGTTACTTTAACATAAGTGAAATAATGAGATTTCCAAAAAATCCGTGCGGTTGTTGCCCCTAGTTGACTTTAAAGAAAAAAAAACTGACTCAAAAAGGTAGGTTTTTTTTTTTATAAAAAAAGTTATAACATATTATATTTTGCCTATGGTCATTTAAAAAAATACATATATATTTTAGACAGGAAAGTATGAAGGTTATAATTTACGAAAATCGCCAAGAATCGTGAACCCTAGTGAAGGTATATTTCATGATAATTCGAAATTCGAAATCATACACATCTTTACAAAACTGTCAAAAACTATTACAGTTAGGTTGAGTGGCTAAAAGGGCTATGTCGGGCAAAAGTCCACTACATTTCTTTCAGATTTCAGCCCTTTCAGACATGTACTAGTTTTGGTCTTTACAAAATTCTTTGAATGGACAGAACTTTGATAACAAAGACCATCAAACGGCACTTAGAACTGTAACTTATAAGTAAAGTCATAATTATTTTTTTGTTATAAAATGGAAATTCTAGAATTATGCGAAAGATTGTAAACATATCAACCATATCAGATGATCATGGCCATACATAATTCATTAAAAGTTGATTTTTCATTTCATACTTTGATACCGCACGGATAGGGCTTGCAGTACCGGTCCGGTTCCTAAAATTTTGATTACCGGTGCTGGCCTCAGCTCAATACCGGTATCCCGGTAACTAGTAACTACGCTTTTTCCAGGTTACCCGTACCTATTCAATAATTTACATAATAATAATATTTTATATAATAAAGAAAAACTTCGTTCTCTAATCAAACTAAAGGTTTTTATTAAAAATATCTATCTAAGAGATAATTGATATTAAATTGAATATAACATAACATCGTAAAATCACATTGTAGTTATATAATAAGTTCAAGTAGTTCATTGGTCGCGTGCTAGTCAAAGACAAAGGATATTCCCATTGTTGGACATAGGTACAATGGCCAGGTATATGTTCGCAAAAAAGAAGGTGCTCCTTCAATCCGCATCGAAAATAAAACTCGTCTACTAACATTGCGGAATGAACAATGACTAGTACTTCGTGTTTGCATATTAGTTTCTTACTTTTTAGTACTTATTATTAAAAACTTTGTTAATAATTTTCATTTAGCTAAGGATCTAAATTGTAACATTATCTTATTAATTAGTTTTCTATTACTCTATCACAGCCATACTCCACACTCAACTCACATCTCTCACACTATACTCAATTGCTCAATCATATACCACACTCGCTCATTACGACGATTGTATTTTATTTGTATAGCACTTAAATGTTATTTTCTCCACGTCTCTATAATCATATCAGACAATTTTCCTAATTGCACAGTCTTACATCTGGTCTTAAATTCGATCAACTAGGTGATGATCTAGATTATTTTACTGTCTCTGACTCTTCGTATTATACACTTGAGCAAACACAGTCTTTGATTAAATACTCTAATAAGAACTTTAAATTAATAACTCAAAATATTCGTAGTATAAACTGTAACATGTCTGGATTCATGACAATTTTAAAACGAACAAATATAGATTGGGATCTAATGATTTTAACAGAGTGCTGGCTTCCTCATGTTATGGCTGTCCAGTGTATAGATGGTTATAACTGTCACTTAACGTCTAATAACTTCACTCAAAATGAAGGCGTTGTAATCTACACAAAAAATACCCTGACGTGCTTGGTAGAGGAGCCCGAATTTAGAGATGCTAACTGTCTAACACTAAAAATTTCTAAACATACTTCAGTAATCGCTATATATCGACCTCCGGCTCAGTCCAACCTCTCGTGTTTTCTACAATCACTCGATGACTTACTTTCAGTATGCTCTAGCTACCCAAATATTATTATATGTGGCGACATAAACATAGATATATGTAACACAAACTCTGACCGAAATTTTGAAAATTATTTGGATCTCCTTGCTTTCCATGGTCTCCTTCCGGCCCACATTCTCCCTACACATGGTAATACCCGTTTGGATCACATTATTATCAAATCGAAGCTTAAAGCTAGTGTCTTCATAGCCCAAACAATACTTACTGACCACTACACGGTTCTTTTTTGCCTCCGAAATGGCAATATTAAACAGCCTTTAATCCGTACTATTAAAAAAGTAAATCATAAAGGTCTAAAAAACGACATGAATAAAATTGATTTTAATGTTATCTTACAGCGATGTCAATACTGCAGCCAATAAACTCACTTCCTTAATGCAATGGGCAATCCAAAAAAATACATTAGAAATTCCAATTACTAGACGTAGGTTGATATTGAAACCCTGGATTACACCAGGCTTAGTTAGATGTATGCGCAACAGAGATAATTTACACAGCAAGAGCAAAAAATTCCCAAATAGTACTGTATTACGAACCACGTACATTAGATACCGTAATTTTTGTAATCGTATTCTACGTAACCTAAAACTAGAATTTGAGCGTAATGAAATAAAAAAAGCCGGATCTAATAATAAAAAACTTTGGCAGGCTATTAACGATGTAACAAACAGACAAAAAACTAAAAATTCTGCATCGGAATTAATCAATAATAACCATCAACGACATAAACCATTTTTTTGCTAACATTGGCCGTTCACTAGCTGAGAAAATCACTTCAGTCCCTCACCATCTTTATCCGTCCACAGCTCCAAAGTTTCAAGTGCACTCAATGGTTTTGCTTCCAACTGACAATGATGAAATTGAATCGCTTATAATGACTCTGAAACTCGATTGTACTATTGGGTGGGATCAAATTTCATCCAAATTACTCATTCAACATAAGAATGCGCTTGTTCCCCCTATTACTTACATTTGTAACCTGTCTCTTGCTTACGGAATGTTCCCTGAGGCTTTTAAAAAATCTTTGATACATCCCGTATACAAAAGTGGGGATAAAACCAGCGTTAACAATTATCGGCCTATCTCGGTGTTATCAGCTAATATCCTGGAGCGCTTGATTATGTTATCAGCTAATATCCTGGAGCGCTTGATTAACAATAGATTAGTCAAATACCTTGAATCGAATAATATGTTATCATCATCTCAGTTTGGTTTTCGTCTCGGCAAATCAGCTACTGATGCTGTTCACGACTTAACTAATTTTATAATCAGCAGTCTAGACTGTAAATATAAAACTCTGGCAATATTTTTAGATTTAAAAAAAGCATTTGACACAGTATCAATCCCTATGCTATTAAACAAATTGGAAGCCCTTGGTATTAGGGATAAACGGTTACTACTTTTCCATAGCTATCTGTCAAACCGCCATCAGTGTGTTACTATAGATGGATCTGTTAGTGATGATCTTTTGACTACATACGGAATCCCACAAGGAAGTATTCTCGGCCCAACCCTCTTTCTCATTTATATTAATGATCTTTGCCAGCTTCAAATTCCCTCTGGTCGAATTATTGCGTTTGCCGATGACACTGCTCTCGTTTTTTCCGCCAAGTCTTGGGAGGATTTGTTCCAGGCTGCCCAAGAAGGTCTGAATTTGGTATCCTTGTGGTTGAAGCGCAATTTTTTGACCTTAAACTCAAATAAGTCGGAATATATGATTTTTAATTTAAAAAACTTAAATTTAAATTTAACTAGAAACTTTCAACTAGTAGCTCACAACTGTAACATAGATAGTAATATATGCTCTTGTCCTAATCTACAATTAACAAAACAATACAGATATCTGGGTGTCCAAATCGATTGTCATCTCAGCTTTCGGCCGCATATCGACTTACTTGCTACTAGAGTAAGGAAACTTATTTATATATTTAAAACTTTACGTAACATTGCGAATCCTGATGTTCTAAAATCAATATATTTCTCTCTGTGTCAATCACTTATTATTTACTGCATCACCTCTTGGGGTGGTGCTTGTATGTCTTTTTTAATTTCCCTTGAACGAGCCCAGAGGGCAATTCTGAAGGTAAGTTTACGTCTCCCGTTTCGGTACCCGACTGCTGATCTATACAAATCATTCAAAGTTCTTACAGTCAGGCAGCTCTTTATTTTGTTTACTGTTTTGAAACAACACTCTCAGACATCTTTCACTCCATCCCTTCTGGCTTCACGACGCATAAATATATGTCCTTCAAAATTAGTTTCGACAACAACTGCTCAGCGTTTCTTTTAATTCCTAGGCCCTTTCTTATATAATAAATTAAATAATATATCCCCTTTTTGTGAACTCTCCAAATACGAATGCAAACTAAAAACTAAAAATTGACCAGATATCTCTTGCTCCTTAACTACGATGAGACTGAAAATCTACTAAAAGTCGTCAAATAACCTCACACTTCCACACTCACAAACACACACGCACACACACAGACACACAAGCACTCACACACTCAGGCACACACTCACTCACGCACTCAGACACACTCACTTACTCACTCGCGCGCTCACGCGCGCACGCATAGTTTGTTATACTTATTTTTTACTTCCTCCTCAGTACTTTGTATTTCGACATTACTACTAACATGACTATCCTAGGGGTTGGGTGCCTGGAGACCCATATTACAAGCTCTGCTTAGTTTGGGCTCCAGTCTCCCACAATACATTACTATAAGCTTACGTAATAATGAATATTTACTGTAATTGTAACGTTTCTTTGTATTGTGTTGTGGAGATAAATAAAGATATTTTATTATTATTATTATTATTATTATTATAATGGCATATCGTGCGCCCGTGCGAAGTTGGCAACGGGCGATTTAATAATGTCACTCAATAGGTGGTAGTTCCTTTCTATAACCGGGACTACCGGGAATCTATAATCGCGGTAGTTACCGGGACTGATTGCACCTCGCCAGTGCCGAGATTTCAGGAGGAAGCCCTATGCACGGACTTTTTGGCCAATCCAATACAATAATAATCCAACTTACTGTATTTGACGATCAATCGTATGTTGTCCATCAGATTCCATTTATCATTCGAGGCGTTGAATTTTACTGAGCACGTGAAATTCGATATTCGTTTGACGTCATCATAAGAGCCCGTCATTTGTACTTGAGGTATTTCTGAAATGTTAATCAAAAATACATGCCAAAAACGATTGTTTTTCAATTGATTCGACAGGGTTCGAATCCATGTCCGAGAAGTTTCACAACATACGAAAAACATGTGAAGACTAAACCCTCACACAGGTAAAGATAATGGTAATAATAAGTGGTAATGTAACCTACAAAAGAGCTACAAACTCAACACGCCGTTAGTTCCATCTCGCCACCGCTAGATGGCATTAGTTGCCCCCTGAATCGCGTTATCGGGGCAATAGTTTTTTTTTCTTTTTACGATACCAAGTACGCGACACGCCTATCCATAACAGTTGCAGAGCAAATCGGAGCTTTAAATCGCAAAGACCTTTAAATCATTTATTTCTTAGTGATACGCAGGTTATAAAGTTGTTACAAGAATTAATTTTGAATCACAATGATCCGCCTACATACAAAGTATTCTTAGTTTTAGTAATTCTCATGCAATAATTTGTAATATCGCACCCCTCATGGAAGAATGGCATAAGTGGACTTACGTCAAAAACATTTATTTACGAATTAGATACAGAAAAATATAACCCACATCCTCTCCAACTCTTGTAACTCTATCGAATATTGTAGATAGAGTTACAAGAATTGGAGAGGATGTAGTTTATGTTTTTCTGTATCTAATGGAGCAATAAATATTTTTGACGTGACTCTACTTACGCCATTCTTCCATGAGGGTTGCGATATACTATAATCATGAAGTCGAATTAACGCAACCTAATACTAATACATCGTAATAACATTAGTAGAATATATCAGTAACAGATTTAAGACTATGAAATGTAAATTTTATAAGAAATCTTCAATATTGCAGAATGTCATATCATTCAGGCAATTAAATAATTTAAGACATTAGTAATTAAATTTTTATTGAATTGATATTCAATTATTTTTTGTGAAATTACTCCACTAGTTTGTTATAACTATTAATACTATTAATAATATTTTTCTGTGTGTTTTTTCTGAGTGTTCGATCTTTGTATTAATATTTATAACAAACTAGTGGAGTAATTTAACAAAAAATAATTGAATATCAATTCAATAAAAATTTAATTAATACAGTGAATAGCGACATCTCTCGCCAGGACTGGTAGCTGTAAAGGTACTAACTGGGTGATAAATCTGTAATAGATTTCTTATAGATGGCGCTACGACTAAAAAGTCGTTGAAAGACCAAGTACAAAGACACGACGCAAGCACATAGAAGAATTCGTGAGGTCCGTTGGTTCGTTCCGTGGCTTAGTTGGTATAGCGTCTGGCACGGTATGCAAGAAGACGTCAGTTCGAATCCGACCGGATCGAAGGAATTTTTTCTGTGTGTTTTTTCTGAGTGTTCGATCTTTGTATTAATAATTATTAAGACATTAGTCTTAAATTCTGCACAATCATTGCTATTTCTAATTTCACTTGGAAGTGTGTTGTAGACCTTTGTAGCCATTACTATTACACTCTTTAGAAATAGAGCAGTTTTACATGATCTAGTTTTCAGTTGATCAGAACGGCGGTCTCAGGGGCACTGCCACTGCGTCACCCTTAGACAAGTTGAGAAGTTCCATGTGCCTGTAATTTCACCAGCACCCTTAGTTCTCACTATGCCGGACTGGTGCATTTGCCGGGAAACTGGGACTCGGACTAGGTGTTTACATTAAGCCGGATCCCACAACACTAAAGTTCTCACCTCAGTCGAATTCAGACCACTGTGCACGATGGACGACGAATTTGTGGTATTGTACTGGTATCTTAAAAGGCTTAATAAAGTAAAAAAAACATTGGGTAATTAAATATATTCTTTACCAAATAAAATACATCAGAAAGATTAGATTAACAGAAAGTGAGCAAAGGTGGACTTATAAAAGAGATCTCTTCCAGTCAACCCAGGGCAGTGAGAGCTAAGGTTATAAGCGGGCAATAGCGTGCAAGAGAGAGTGCGGAAGAAATATCATAAATATAAATAAAATACATAAATAAAAAAATACACTTACTTGCATAAGCATTATAATGAATAATAATAAATAGCATCAATATGTAAATAGTGTAATATATACATATAGGTCCACGTATACATATATACATAAATAAGTATGTACAAAAATTACAATAAGATGATTACTGCGATGCGATGATTCAGCAAGAAAGTGCGCTTTCAACCTTTTCTTGAAAGAAGCGATAGACGGGCTAGACTGGATATGGGGAGGTACCTCCTATTTTACAGGAAAGATTTTCACTTGAAACTTTTGGAACGTTAATGGGCCAACTGAGAAATAACGAGTTTTTCTTCAATTATTTTCGAATGACAGCATCATCTTTGGATGAACACCAAAAAGACACGCGGGGAGTACAGGTGGAGCAAGACTGAGCACTGTTCGTTCACATTACTCCGGTCCGGACGTTCTGCCGGGTCCGGCGTAATGTGAATAGCTTCATATAAATTGCATACTTCGTTTCAATCCATTTTGAACAACAAAAAGTAAACAAACAAGTTACTGACCCGACCATAGACGGTTTAGTGATGGCCAATTGTAACGCCAACTACAAATAGATTAATTAATTGAATGGATCGATTTGTTCAATTGAGTCATACTGGCGGTTTTCTTTAAATAACCTATATAACCATAATAATAATCATAATCGATTACTAAACTTTAATTGATTGAACCGAATGTTTTTTTCGAACATCACTATGCAATAGGCAAGTCATAGAAGTATAGATGAATAATAACCTCACTTCTAAACTACCATATTTCAAATACGATTTTGCGGTGCTATTCAAATGAATATACACACATCAAAAGTATTTTGGATATACCGGTCCTGTCTGCGAGTCGTGATGCGAGATCGTCCTCCATGTCGCTCGGCCACGCTGCCCGTCATGCGATAGCGCGTCCAGAGGCGACTTATGACGCTCTGTGTAGTGTTAAGAGTGAAAGCCACAGCACGTTGCCTGGAACCAGCTTCCAACATTCCGACGGCTCGCATCATCACTTCTCGGGTTAAATGATGTCGTCTCTCCAAAATAATGTAAATTATTTTGGATATTGTAATGATTTTGTCAAAACGCTATAACTCATTTTTATACAA